TATTATGTGTTGCGTTTTGTCACTGTCAGGGTGCACGGGGACTCTGTTATCAATAGTGATGAAGATGACCACCATCAGATACCGAGGGCTGGGTTTCTTTGCCACTTTACTATTCAAATGTAAATGATGAGAAGCTATACTTAATTGTTAATTTAAATAACATTTCATTGAGGACTGAACTAAACTACACTCCAAAAATATTTATGCCCAAAATACTGACTTCTTTAAGTAGTTGGATTACATGTCAATTTTTTTGTTATGTTGTTACACAAGTAGAATGTAAAACATTAAATTTAATGGAATCAGTTCAAATGAAACCGACTGAGTATACATTTAGATTAGACCTAGTATATTTGTTTTAATTATACTGATTTATGTTTATGTTTTATTTATGTTTTTTGTTTATGTTTTATCTTTTGTTTTGTGTTTTTATTTGTGTGAAATCTGAATGTTGTAAAGCTGTTTTTCTGTAACTGACAGATGTTGACCAGGAGCAGCGAGCGCTAGAAGAGGAACTACTCAGCAGTCTCTTCACTTCCAAGGTATCTGGTCTTTTTACATCTGTGATATCAGAGACTGGAAAGAAAAGCTTCATCCTGCCGGGTCGGTCTCTGACCTCGCCGATAAAGGCTTTCCAGGTGTTCTTTCATGAAATCTACATCCACGCTTCAGTGGCAACCTCAGCTTGCGGTTGTGCTCATGCTGAGTGGGAGATAAATAATTTACCACAAGAGGCTTTTTATGCCACTCAGGCTGCCTGAGCATTTACTTTGTTTTTTTTAAGTCAATTTGCTCTTTTTAAAAGTGTATCCAGTTCAAATGTGCTCTGAAAAATAACAAATAATCACCTTTCCATTTGCTGCAGTGCTTTGAAACGAGGAGAAAATAAGAGCTGAGATTGGGCATTCTAATTCAGTTGTAACCTTGAGCTTTTTATCACATTTATCTGATGTCTGCCTGAGGCTATGCAAAGATCAGGTATGAAATCAGTGAATGTGGAACCAAAGGCACGCACAGACGGATGGCCGATCCTAATAGGATTCAGATGGACCTGGCAGTATAGTTACGACACATCTTTTACCCTTCTTGCTGATGAAAAACTGCGATGCTCACACGGAGACATGACGGTGACAAATCAGCCATTTGATTCATAGCTGCCGATGCTCAGAGGTTGCTCAGGGGTGATGATTGTAATAATAACTTGCTGCATGACTGACAGACTGCTCAAGAGGCTGGAAAGTGCAGTATGGTGGAAGATAGACCTAATTGTGGCTCTTTATCTACACACTATATATTTGACAATAAAATTGACTGATATACTCCTCCCTTCCTTTCATCTGATTAGATACCACGGTTAATGCTCCATTGTGGTTTTTCATTCTCTACTGAATACAACTAAATTACTTTCTTATTACTCTGCATAGTGAGTCACTGACCTCTGTGTTCAGTATCGTTAGTTGTTCCGATGCTGGAATTTAGATTGAACTTTTGCGTCTCTATAAAATGCAAGTTTGTGAACGCTAAAGAGCCCAGGAGACTAACGTTAAGGTAGAAATTTCCAGTGAAGCACCACAATCTTTCATATGACATTACAGCACAATTGCATGGCCACACTAACTCAGCTAGTTTGTCTTTTGTGCATGGGCAATTTCCAAATGTCAGCTGCCTATGTTTGATCCTGACGCTTGTTCATTTGATGCCACTAAAGCTTTTATCCACGTCTCCTGCCTGGCAAACAAAAAGAGTTTTCGTCTTTATATTTGAGGATACTTCCACTGGTCATAAATGATGAGTGAGCCTCCCTGACACTGACATCTTTGACTGCAACATGCACATGACAGCCAGTACACACAGAGGACTCTGGGGGCTCTTTACCATCTCACTGCACTCTAGAGACACTATAACTCAGTAGTCTCACTCTGTTCACTCTGAGTGCATGTGTCTTTAAGAAATAATAGGTGCTTAGATTACATTGTAAAAGTCTCACATGCAGAATCCTCAGTCCCTTTTTGAAGGAACTACCTGAGTGTTTACTGCTGCAAATGCAAAATGTACAACATTAAAAGTGAGACTAAGGTGTAGAATCACAATACTGACTGTATTCTGTTTGCTCAAACATAAGCTATGAAATGACAAATATCAAAATGATTAAGTCAGATCGAGGTATCGAATCAACAGTTTGGCTGAATTTTAAAATTATGGCCACAGTTTGTACTTACAGTGATGAGGACGCGGGTTGAGTAATACCTGAAAATGTCGTTTTTCAGTCAGATCATTTCTGTCAATATAAATGTTTCACGAGAGAAAACAATCCCCATTAAACCAAAAAGCTTCTAAACCACCTGAAACATCAGCCTCTTGAGTGGTCAGTACAGTTTTCACGTCACCCAAGTTCACAAAATACACGAAAACACCAACAAAAATATTGCTCAAAGCAGGAATCTGATTAAGTGATGCACTCTGAGTGTTAAAAACCCAACCACTCAATCCATTTAACTGTCTCATCCTGGTATCTTGTGCCCTCTGTGCAGATGAAACAGAATAAGCAGAGTGCCCCCTATTGGCGCGTGTCTCTGGCCAACCTCTGTAAGATGCTGAGCGCCCTGCGGCAGGAGGTGTGGAGTGGCGAGGAGGAGGATGGGGGTCTGAGGGAGGGGAGCCTCCAGCTGCTGGATGAAATGTACAACTTGCAACACATCTGCCGAGTACTGCAGAGCCGGGAGGAGAGGGTCAGACAATCATCTTTAACTTACTTTCTTTTGCTGTGTGGGCTACTTTTCAAATAACAACATTGCATAAGCACAAGCAGATATTTACTGGTAAAATCTAACTTTCAGAGGTTCCACTAGCACCTTGCATAAATTATGGATAGCTAAGGAAATTCTCAAAAGTCCTAATCTCCTACCTAAGCTACTTGTTGAGAAGTAACTGTCAACCAAAAGCCCAGTCAAAACAAATACACAGACTTGTGTACATACACACTTACTCACTCACATCGCCAGAACACACAGGAGTATGTGTGTTCTCCCCTAAAGCAAACACACTTCATTAAATCTCCCCTCTCCCCCACTTCGCCTCCTCATCTCTTCCTCACTCGCTGTCATCGTTTTTCTCTCCACTCTTGGCTCCTCGCACTGTGGCATTTCTCTTTTTTTAAATGTTAACACAACACCTGCAGATTAGCAGTCAGTACCAAAACATGTTTGCCTGCCGCCCGCCCCCCTCACACTCCCTCATGTTGCGTGACACTCATCCTCTGCTGTGTCTCCCTTCACTCCTCACAGCTACTCCAAGACTCTCTAGAGTATTCAGAGGAGAACAGCGACGCTCCACTGAAACGAAAGTCACCCTACATATTGAAGAGGCAAGTGGGGCACATCACTAAGACTCGGCGGCCGTACATCTTAAAACGAAGTACATTTTACTGACACCCCAGAGACCGCAGCACCATTTTAAGGGACCGGACCACATGTTTTGTGTAATTATGTGATTGTGTTTATTTTCTGTCTTCTTGTAGATGCAGTCTTTTTTTTTTCCTGTTCCTTTTTATCCAATCAGACCCTTTGATTGTATGTCCAACAGAGAGGCCTGTCTTTATCCTGCTCCTGAAAATAAAATCCTTAGCATCAAAGAAATAGTGTATCTCTGAGAAACTGTATTTATGTATGCTATTTATTCACTGCAAAATAAATCTATTTTGTTTCAGAAATTAAAGGATTCATGATACAAAACCAGCGCAATGTCACAATCTGCTTTTTCTATTTATGTAATAACTTAGCTAAGTTGTGTCATATTTCATCCTTTATAATACTTAATTAGCATTCACAGGATCACAACCTACAACAAATTACTCTGACCAAACAAAACCAGGAGACACTTTATGTCTCCCTAAGTGTCACCAGTAGCTTCAGTCGGTTTAGCACAAACTCTCCAAGTCTCTGCAACTCTATGCATGGAAATAGAAGCAACACTGTTCAACCGGTTGAAAATTGGTTACTGCAAAGGCCACAGCATATTATTCACCTTCATCATTAATTCAGTCCCACTGCGCGCCATGGATAGAGGTTTTGTCATCTTGGAAAAGATCACTCTCATCAGCATAGAAAAATGTCTCTGTGGACCCATACTGTGAAATCAAACTGCTCCCACGGCATTAAGCCCAGGATCCATATTTTCGCTTTAATTTCTCATCTGTCCTCATTCTTTATCAACTTTAATCTCAATGAACACAGTTTAGTTTAGGACTCAGTACTTTATTGTACATAAAATTGTGCAAAAAGATAAGATAAAAGTTATCTTTTCTTTATGCACAATTGGGCTGCTAGATCCTAAATATGGATTGATATGCATTTAGAAAAATCCCAACAAATTAGAAATGAAACACAAATAGTGCCTAAAATGTTAGGCACTATTTGTGCTTAATCATTTAAAAAAAAAAAAAAAAAAAAGCACAAACATGCTGTTGATTTTTGGTCTTCCATAAGACCATAAAAAGGTCATTCTATATTTCTTAGTATGGAAATATAGAATGACCTTGTTCTTTAGACATCCATTCGTATGTATGATAATGCAATCTGAGATCTTGATTTATGTCTTTTTTTGTTTGGAATTCAAATAAGTCATTTATACAAATATCAGTGATGGAATTTTACATATCCTAAGATACATTTATAATTTGGAAAAAATAGTAGACTTTGCCGGTAGCAGCATTGTTGCAATGTAATTTATTATTAACGGCGTTTGTCTCCTTCATGAGTGTTTTTCAACAGGAACTTTTATAGATTGGTGAAAAATCTATAATATAATGACAAACAGCCCAATAAATCCTGCCACTCTTTGACTGGGGATCCACTTGCAACTACAGTCAGGTCTGAACACTGATGCCGTAATGATTTCTTGATGGTAAAATTCAGCTTGTGGCGCCTTTAATGTCAACACATTGATCTTAATAGCATGTGCTATGCTGAGCATTTTTCAAAGGAGCACAGAGGCCCTTTGACTTCAGCAGATGAAATACACCTTTACTACAGCGAATGAGAGGTCTTGGCCTTAATAAATGGCAGTTTCCTCTCTAAATCAAAAAGCTTTGGTGTTCTTTGAAACTTGGTTCTTAACCTTGACAGCCAAAGCACTTGGATGACGTGCAACACACAATCAAACACGCACTTGGGATGGCTTCATCTTGTTGCCTGAGAGAGCAGGTGATGTGAGAAGATTAGATTTGGAGTTTGACGCAAAGGAAAAGCTGTTTTTATTCAAAACAAGTTTGGGCCAAACAATTAGGTACAAAGGATTTCTTTGTTCTACAAAAGTTTTGGTAACACTTTTTGAGATGAAGGTAAGTGAGAAATCAGGCACAAAAAATTCATGTTACCATCAACACCTGATATTTCACCTGAACTCAGTCCCCTCAAAACATGCTTACAACACGTAATCCCGTACGAAAAATAATCAAAAAGCAAAACTGCATTTCTAAGCGGGACAGCTATGTCCAGCCTTGCTGATAGTAAAGGGTCATACTTGGGTATGGACTCATTATCTCCTTTAAAAAAGCGTTTCGGATAACAGGGATAATCCCCAGACCTCGATTTGGTCATATTTCAGTGGAACCATTTCTCTGTCAGGGAAAGGTTACAAGAAAATCTTCAAATGTAATTTCTCAATTTTTGAGTACCTAAAAGGAAAATGATGTTCACCTCCTTTGTATTGGGGTGACAGATGAAATATCAGAGACAGATAGCTCAAAGTCCCACATGTGAAACGAAATCTAACTGTGCTCCTGGATACAGGTGGATGTCGAATTTCTTTTTTATGATATTTACCAACTGAGTTCATTTGGTATCTTTTTCTGAATGTAACACAAAAAAGGTAAAAGGTCCTCTGAACTTAAATTACATCGCTGAGATGAAATAATATGCAGCCATCATCGTTCTAGCTTTTCACTCACTCCAGTTACTGCAGGTATTTATCAAGTCAGTTAGTTTTAAAGCTGCCATTTAAACTTTCATACCAAAATTACTGCCGGCGCACCTTTAAACCAGGTAGTTCTGCACAGCTGAATGCCCCAGAATGTTTCAAATAGCTCCATTTGAATACATCAAATACATCAGGTGTAACAAGGAAAGGTCAAACTTTGCATGAACAAAGGTTAAAAATATATCATATAGACAACCTTCATTATTATTCTTTTCAAGTCAGTGGCCACCAACACTGTATGCGCCCATCACGGGCAGTGGATGGCGGTGTTGTGTAACTACTTCAGATTTACTGTGTGAATGGCTGCTGTCAGAAATTCAAGTATACCTTTAGGGGGAAGAGTCACATATCAAGAGAAAAAAAAGAAAAAAGAAAGAACAGTCACAAAATCTTTGTAGAAATCTGCATCATAAAGTGAGAGCATTGGGATTTTTTTGGTCAACTTTAAATTTTAACAGAAAAGTATATGCTGTTTAAGAAAAACTGGAATGATATTTTTTCACATACTATGACACGTCAATGAAAACACAATTCTGTAATTGCAGTTGTAGCTTTAAACTGAAACAGGTTTTGTAGCAGGGCAGTATTGTGGTGTTTTGTGGCCTCACAGCCTCACAGCTGTTAACATCTGGAAATCAGTTAAGTCTACAACCATGCTTATACTTGTTTGGAAAGACTGTCAATATTCTGTATAAACAAAAATGTTCAAAGCTTAACAAAATAAGTCATATCAATGCAAGAAATGACCCTGTGATGCTACGTTCACAATTGTGAAGGCTCTTGCGACTTACGTTCAGCAACACATTTTAACTGCATGTTTATTTTTAATAAGTAAGTAAGTTGTCTCTTTGCAGTGTTTCTTGTTTGTGTTGCGATCAAGGAAACCTTTTAAGTGATTTAGTTGTGGATATTGTAAAACTAGGAGTTCAAAAAGCAATAGCAATATCCTGCAGGCTTTTACCCATCATGATACATAATAACAGATATTATGATTATATTAAACAGGTCTGTTTCTTGGTTTACTATACTCCAACCTAGCTTCAGTCAGGAAAAATGTATTTCAAAAGATGGATTGTAAACAAATCAAAATGCTTCATTTTGTTAGTTGTGCACATGCACGTTCACTACCAGCAGATGGCAGTACATTACAAAGCTAATCCAGACCACTTATTATACTGGTGTGGGAAGAGGCAAGAAGATGACATGAATCATTTCAAGACTGACCTTTGGTTCTTCTTTAGTAATAATTTCCTGCTTAAATAGATTTTAGTCAGAATCCTGAAATGGTCATTTGATTTTAATTCAGTTCTATTCAGTTAATTCAGTTTAATGCACACAGTGCCAGGTAACAGCAGTAGCCATTTCAAGGCATGTATGTTGTGAGATACAAATCCTGCAGTTATTAGAAAGAGAAGTCTAACAATCACACAACAAATGAACAAGAAATGTTCTTAATAAACAAATGTTGTCTTTCTCCAGTGATTACTACAACTGATTCATTTTAATCACATTCTGCAACAGTGTGCTTCCAACTATTAGGAAAGAATGAGAACTTTATTTCAGTGTCAAATAGAGCTCTACAAATTCTCTTTAGATTGGTACTGTTACATCAAGCCTCATAAATGCTACAGACATTTGACTGCTGTGCAGTGCCATGAAACACTATAAGGCTGACAAACCTTTATGGGCCCAAATCTTGACTCTTGGGGCAGGAATAAACTTTAAAACAAGCTTTAATGCTCCTTGGTCCAGAAAATTACAAAGTTCCAAATCCAAAAGATAACAAAGAATCCAAACATCCCACACACGCTTGGGAAACTCAGAGAAATCAGAGCAAGGGAAACAGAAGGCAGCGTGGATGACATGACAAAGGATGACGGGAAGGCTCCACAATATGTACACCACAAACAAAAACAAAAACCAAAAAAAAAGAGTGGTGAGCAAACATGAGGGGAACACGGCAGCTGCCATAAGGCGAGAGGCGGGGTACACCCTGGACAGGTTGCCAGTCTGTTGCAGGGCTAACAAATAGAGACAGACAACCTTTCTCAAATGTTTCTGAATAGAAAAAACAAATGTGGATTGGATTTTTAGCTTTAATATAAAGATAAAGTACTATGCAAAGGCTTTTGGCACCTCAGATGTTCAGATTCTTCATGTAACTTTCTACAGGAGGTCACTGACTCGAGATATACAACCAGAGTCATACACTATCTTCAACTACAAGAACAAGGACTCCTGTAACAGAAGTGTGGTGGCTGACGTTAGACAGTTAGAGAGCTAAAAGCTAAACACTTTCAGAAACTGCTTAGAAGAACTTCTGCTGTTTAACAACTGGTAGATTAAAGCTCTTTCATTTACATGCATTTGAAATCCTCCTTACTTGTAGAGCCAAAACCTTTCCACGGTATGGTGCACAGAATTCACTCAACAATAAATTGGCCAATTTAAATTTGGAAAATTAACTAGGAGAGTAAATCGGCAGTTATTTACTTTAACGCTCTCTATTTACTCAGTATTGGGCAAACATA